ATTTGACAATAAATTTCATATATTGAAAAAAAATTGTCAGATCTTCTTGGTGGATAGAGCCCTTAATTATGATATAATGCCCTTTTCATCCCTTGTTACAGTTTTTATTTTCAAGTCTATATTGTCTGATATAAGTATGGCTACTCCAGCTTTCTTTTGGTGACCATTAGCATTATAGATGATTCTCCATACCCTTATTTTCAATCTGAAGTTGCCCTTAGGACTAAAATGGGTCTCTTGTAAACAGAATATTGGTGGATCTTGTTTTCTTATCCATTCTGCTACCCTATGTCATTTTAAACTTTTTTAGTTTTTATTAAAAAAATTCTTTTAATGTGTATTTATTTTGAGAGAGACAGGCAGAGGGAGACGAGATAGAAAGAGAGTGCAAGCAGTGGAAGGGCAGAGAAAGAGAGAGGGAGACACAGAATCCAAATCAGGCTCCAGGCTCTGAACTGTCAATACAGAGCCCGACACAGGGCTCGAACCCACGAACTGTGAGATCATGACCTGAGCTGAAGTCAGAAGCTTAACCGACTGAGCCACCCAGGCACCCCTACCATATATCTTTGATTGGAGCATTTATTTCATTGATGTTTAGAGTGAGTACTGAAAGATATGAATTTATATCCATTATGTTTCCTATAGAGTTGGAGTTTCTGGTGGTGTTCTCTGGTCCTTTCTTGTCTTTGTTGCTTTTGGTCTTTTTTCTCCCCATCATTTCTCCCCTCAGAGAGTCCCCCTTAAAATATTTTGCAGTATTGGTTTTGTGCTCATGAACTCCTTTAATTTTTGTTTGGGAAACTTTTTATCTCTCCTTCTATTTTGAATGACAACCTTGCTGGATAAAGAATTCTTGGTTGCATATTTTTCTTATTTAGCACATTGAATATATCCCGCCAGTCCTTTCTGGCATTCCAAGTTTCTGTGGATAGGTCTGCTTTGAACCTGATCTATCTTCCCTTGTGTGTTGAGGACTTTTTTCCCTTGCTGCTTTCATGATTCTTTCCTTGGCTGAGTATCCTGTGAATTTGACTTTGATATGCCTTGTTGATGGTTGGTTTTTGTTGCATCTAATGGGAGTTCTCTGTGCTTCCTGGATTTTGATGTCTGTGTCTTTCTCCAGTTTAGGAAAGTTTTCTGCTATGATTTGACACATAAACCTTCTACCCTTATTCGTCTCTTTTCAACTTCTGGGACCCCTATGATTTGGATGTTATTCCTTTTTAATGAGTCACTGAGTTCTCTCATTCTTATATTGAGCTCTTTTGCCTTAGTCTCCCTCTTTTATTCTGCTTCATTATTCTCCATGTTTGTCTTCTATATCGCTGATTCACTGCTCTGCTTCATCCATCCTTGCTGATGTGGCACCATTCAAGATTGTAGCTCAGTTATAACATTTCTTTTTCATCTTGACTAGTTTTTACTTCTTTTATCTCAGCCAAAAGGGATTGTAATCTATTTTCAACCCCAGCTAGTATTCTTATTATCGTGATTCTAAATTCTGGTTCAGACACCTTGCTTGTACCTGTGTTGATTAAGTCCCTGGATGTCATTTGTTCCTGTTCTTTCTTTTGGGGTGAATTCCTTCATTTTGTCATTTTGAAGGAAGAAAATGAATTAATAAAGTAAAAAAAAATGAAAATTAAGCAATTAAAACAACACAAAAAAATTTAAAAAAGCATGCTAGATCCTAGGTGTTTTTTGGTCGGGTTGTTGAAAGAAACTTGGTAGATTAGAGAAAAAAGGGAAAGAAAAGAAAAGAAAAAAAACGATAAAAAAGGAAAACATTTAAAAAGTTGAAAAAATGAATACAATAAAATAGAATAAAATGAAATGATGGAAGTAAAATAGAATATAAAATGTACAAAAAAGTAAAAAATATAGTAGAAAAAATTAAAGAAAATCTTTTTAATACAAATGGAAAATAAAAATAGTTTCTCTTTCTGTTTTCAAGAATAAGAAAAGAAAGAAAAAAAATGAATAGATGGGCCAGCAAACAGAATCAAATATGATTGAAATTACATCCGGTTTCCCCTAGAATTCAAAGTATGAAGCACTTTACAGTCTATAAACTAAGCAGGAGGGGAGATTTGTGGTGCTCCTTAAAAGTGCAGTTGGCCTAGTTGGGCAGGGCTTAGTGTAACAGCTCTGTTCTCCACTAGGTGGCACTGCTTAGCTTACTGAAGTGGATTGTTGTGGTGCATGTAGGCGTGAATGTGCATGTGCGGAAGGGGTAAAAATGGTGTCACCCAGCTACATAGTCTGTAGTATCAGAACTCTGTGCTCTCTCCCACTAGCATTCAAACACCCTTCTTTTGTCTCTGGTTCCCAAACTCCCCACTTCTACACCATCCATGACCAAGCCTTTAGGCTGCCAGGCAGCACCTCCCTCCTGAGATTCATCTCATATGTGGCTGTGTTTCCCAACCCCTCACTTCTGAGGGACTGTCTTTAACCCATTCTGACCTTCTGGTGGAGGGTCTCGCTGTGCAATGGCCAAGTTCCATCCAGCCTTAAGGAATGTTTGCAAGACCATGAGGCTGCTGGTATCCAGAGACTGTAGCTGGGCACCAGCCCAACCCAGAAAAATTCATGTGACCGTGTAGCAGCAGCATTTCAAGGATTAGGGAAAATCACAACACACATCTGGTACCAGGCTTCACCCTTATCATCTTCACTCCGACACCAGTGCATTTTGCCATTCTCCCGTGTCCACTGGGACCTTTGCACTCCTCCCCCCACAAAGGAGACACTCCCACAAACTCTGGTACAGGAAAGAAAGTGGGAAAAGCTGACTCAAACCACTGAAACTTATGGGAAATCTAGTCCACAGTCAGAAAAGTAGAGGACTGGCCAATACCAACAGATTCTGTCCAGTGATGAGCCCAGGCTCAATGGACCTCATGTGTTGCTTTTAAAGGTAATGCAGGAGGTGGGGTATGGGTGAAATAGATAAAAGGGGATTAAGAGTATACCCACTGTGATGAACACTGAGTAATGTATAGAATTGTTGAATCACTATATTGTACACCTGAAACTAATTTAACAGTGTATCTTAATTATACTACAATAAAAAACAAAAAATCCAAAAAATGCAAAAAAATAAAGGTAAACAAAACTTGAGGAGACACTGCAAATTTTAATTTTATCTTGACTTATTCTTTGTTTCATTTTAGGTTTATAGGGTAAAATCATTTGAAATTACCCCAAATAGGTCATTACTCTTTGGTCATCTGAATATAGATGGCACTTTGGTGAAACAAATGGATTTGTGAATTTTAATTTTAAACGTTTGCAAATAAAATAGCACTAAGAAAATCAAGGCAAAAAAGGTCAATTTCTCTTTTTCAATTCATGTTTTTATGAATCTTTGTTGTATGCTAAGCACCAAACGAGTCACTTTGACATAAAGGGTGGCAAAGCTATGAGAAAAAGTTAATCCCCAACCTGATTTTGCATTCATCTACACAGTATGGTGTGGACTAGCTTCTAAAAATATAAATCCATATAGAATAAGTTTTACTCCTTCAGGAACTACTTTTTTAAATTAGTTGAAATGGTTGTGAACAACATAAGACATGGCATGTGACACTGTTTTCTTATTTTTAATGTTTATTTTTTGAGAGAGAGAGAGAGAGAGAGAGAGAGAGAGAGAGAGAATGAGTGGGGGAGGGGCAGTGAGAGAGGGAGACAGAATCTGAAGCAGACTCCAGGCTCTGGGCTGTCAGCACAGAGCCTGGCATGAGGCTCGAACTCACAAACTGTGAGATCATCACCTCAGCTGAAGTCAGAAGCTTAACCCACTGAGCCACCCAGGCACCATGACAATGTTTTCTAATACATGTTTGGCCTTTAATTCATTAGCTACCTTCTATTTAATTTTTGGAATTAAACAGTGGCTATACACAATGACTTTATTATCTTCAGAAACTTGAATTCCTTGAGGGCCAAAGGCCCTGTAAATAAAAAGGTGCTGTTATATTGGAAGTCATAGTGTTGGAAAAGATTCAGTTAATAGAAGTGTGGTATTGGAGTATGTAAACCCACTGCTTTTTTCAAGAATGGTAACGTTACTAATAGCAACTTCTACTCATGACCTACCCTGTTCCTATGCTTTGGTAAAGGGTTCCTAGGATAATGCCCTCTTTCAGCTTTGGGTCATCACCCTGCCCATTCCAATTCCAATCTGTGATGGTATTTTTATTCCATGGCTCTGTGCCCCTTAAAATAGTTGAAGTCTGTGGGCTCTAAATATCAAGCTGAATGAGTCAATTTGATCATAGAAGCACTGAGAATTTAGACTGTAAAAGCCTGGATGAGCTTGTCATGTCTAGGTAACCCAACTAATGAACACCTTGCCACACTTGACAAATTAGAACCACACTCAGCCGGCCCTAATGGGAAAGCTTGATAAATTTCTCTCCATAATGTCCCAAGACAATAGGATATTCATGGGGCCAGGTCTCTGATGGTTCTGTGACCTGCTTGAGAGAAGTGCTATTCCTCTTCTGTTCCCAACTGAAGGACTCATCTTCCTTGACAACCTGCTGTAATTACTCCATCTTCCATTTTTGACCATCAGCCCGCACTAAACCCTTTCTTGAATGCTAAGAAATTATAAATATTTTATTCCTTTCTATGGATAAGGTTTCTCTTCTTCTCCACTGGATTTCAGAACACTGGGGTGGGATGGGAATGGGGTCAACATTAAAACTTCCTTGGGTTTTACCCATGCCATGTGATACTGTGTGTCTGTGTAAATTCCCACATATTTTAAGGAAAATTAATTGGTTTCTAATTCCATCCACCAGTATACCCAGAAGAATTTTAGCCATATCATTATAAATTTCCTTGCCCAGAATTCCTAATGGAACAACAAGTAGAACCTCTGACAACTTCCAATCAGTGCCTTATTACATAATTTAAAGAAATGAATAGTCCCTGAATGAATCCTAATTCTGAGGCATTAGACAAGCATATTTCAAATAATGATATAATTCAATAATTTTTAAAATGTTTATTTTTAGAGGTTGAACATGGTTCATTGCAGACTTTCTGATGAAACAATTAGCAGTCTCAAAGATTATTTCAATAATTTTTTAAGTTAAAGCACATATCAAATACAAATTGATTTAAATAGGCACATTTAAAAAAATAATTGAAGAGTATTTAAAAGATCCCATTGAGTGCATGTGGCATTATTCCTGGTTTTATGAATACTGTTTCAATTAAATGAGTGCTGGCAGAAAACACAGTGATTATTTTATCTAGAAACTGGTGGCACTGAAAATATTAAAATTATGCATTCTAATGGTTTGCATGTGTGTATGTATATGTGTATGCATGTACGTGTGTGATTTCTGCTTTGCCTATTTTACTATCTAAACGATTATCCTTTCCTACTATTTCCTCTGAGCTCTTCCCTTACTTCAACAGACCTAATCACTCACAGCTTTTCTTGTTAGCCCTCTTCATACATCATTTTTTAGTTTTCAAATATTTCCAACAATGCCTTTTATTTTGGACAAGAGCTTTGGTGAAAAAAACTAAAGTACACTAAAATAAAACTGTATTTTGTCCCAATGCTACTCACAACCTGCTAGAACTTTCATGCTTTCAATCACAGGGCTAGGAGAATTGGCTAGCCAGGATTACCCCACCATTGCTTCTGTAATGAGCTGGGACTGCCAAGTGCTGATCTACAAGGTGAGGTATAGATATAATTTCTTCCATTACTGTGCACGGACTATGAAATTTAATTGCCCCTTCACTTTCTTGTTTCAGCTGGCAAAGGGTATACAAATTCCAGATGGAATAACATCAAAATTTGAGATATTCATTACTTATACACCACTTTAAATATTTTCAATCCTTTCTATTTGGCTATCCAACATTTCAATCTCCCTTTGTGATGTGTGCCAGCTTCCTTTCTTTGTTAACACCTTATCCTTTAAAGTTCAGCTACATGTCTGCAATTTTTCTTGTTTGTTTACTTTGGTACATCTCTGTAGATTCAGTTCACCATGGTCTATGTTTTACTAGAATAACAGCCACAGAGCACAATGGGAGTTGATTTCCTAAACTAGTTTACTGTCTTACTGCCTTAAAAATATGATTTTAAGATGAAACTTATTTCTCTAATCTTAACTTTGAGTAAATATTATGAAGAAAAATGAATTTTCAAAAGACTTGATTCTACACACTACTTAAATGAAAGAATTTTCTGAAATGCAAACATAGCAAGCTCCATTTGCTCAGCAATGAGGTACTTGCACAAAGTTCCCCCATGGCCTTTTTGGTGTACAAATTTATAATAATGAAGACTGCTTCTAAGGAAATAATTTGACATAAATGTTTCCTCTTTAAACTACTGCATTTAAAAAGTCATTCGAGTTGTAAACACTCAAGGATAAGCCAGTTTTAGGATCACATTATTGTGTCACAGTAACAGAGATGTGAATCACATTTATTTCTGTAACTCATGGATTCAGGTTCTCCTAAATTCTCATTTTGAGCTACTACACTCTTGATGTAAGTTGTTAGGAAAATCCAAATCATCATTCTTGTCACCAAGGCACCAAGAAATAATGTGCTATCACGAAATCACACATAGTCAGCTGATTTTGTATTTTGGTTAACCAGGTAGTTTGAAAACTATTATCCCACTAGCACTGTCTTCATACTCTTGAAGCAGAACTAGAGGAATTATACTGAGGTATACTTTGTGGTAGTTCTGTTGCTTATTCTTGCCCCAGAACTAACCATGGTATTGAGGATGTATATGCAGAAATTATGGTTTTCACCAGGTAGCAGTTACCATAGGTGACCAAACACCACCTACCTATGGCGTCTATAACATATTGGGTGATGGACTAACATGATTTTCACTACTCTAAATTTGATGAAAGTTGCATTTTTTTCAAAATGTTTTTTTCTTTTTCTTTTTTTTTACCTAAACATTAAGTCCCTACATGTGGACTTATCACTTTTAGATTAATTTCTTATTTTACAGAAATAGAAATGGGAAAAAAAAAGTATTAGCAGCCAAAGTTTTTTTGTTGTTGCATTTTGTTCTTTTTGTTTAATAACTGAGGGGAACTTCTTATGTAGTTCAATCTAGGATTGGGAAAATATTCCATGTTGTCTGATGGTCCCACTTTTGGCCAGATAAGAATTTTTATAAATCAACCAATCTGTCTTTGGGGGTTAGAATTTGACGCCTATTTTGAAGTATTAAAAAAAAACCTCAACTCATTCTACAGTACATGTGTATAGGAGTTTAGTCCTGTATTCAGGCTTGCAAGTGTATTATTTGGTGGTTTAAAAAAACAAACAAACAAACAAACAAACAAACAAACAGCTATTGCACATCTTCAGGGGTTCTGAGGAACATCAAGCATCTAAGACTTTCTTCCTTCTTATCAGGAGAAAACCAGCTGAACATGGTATGAAAAAAACACAACTGGTCTCTGACTGGGGGCTTAACTGTCAAGGAACAGCAAGGAAATGGGTGGCCTTTTCCCCTTTATCACTGTAGTTTTCTCTAGGCATGCAGGTTGTTCAGGCTTAGTCTTGTTTGTAGCATAGTTCTTATTATTTTCATTTAATAATCTAACTTTTGGTTCTTTATATGACTTTGCAAGTTTGCATATAGTTTGTTGCTATTTTTATTTCTTTCTGAAAAACCTCACTCAGGGCCAATTATTTTGAAAGCTACTTGGAATCTAACTCATTACAGGTTTCTTTACTCCATGTAGTAATATCTGAATATAGATACTGTCCAAACTGTACTAAGAGTAATATTTGAGTTCACAGTAACAAAAGTTACAAAGTTTGTGCAAAAGACATTGTACACCATTGGAGTACACAGAGCTTGCTATAGTTAATTTTATATATAAAGCTGCATTTCTCATTAGAACTATTTTGTGCTACATTAAAAGTAAAGTATCTGATTTAATTTTTCCCTAACAATAAAACTGAATGCTCATTTAATCTCAGAAATTTTAAGATGCAGATTTCATATTTATGATGTTTGTAAATGTTGTAATAAATCACTGGAACCTTTTAAACATCATAAATGCTTTGGAGCTCTTCAAGTTTTCCAAGGGTCATGAAATAAACCCGGCTGTGGCGATTGCGCAGGGTAGAGGTAAAAAATAGCTTTAGAAAGAGAGAAAGAGACACCATCAGTAAATATTTTATACATTGTTATCTGATATTTTACAGATACAACTATAATTTCATTTGTTCTTCATCAACCAATTAAAATTATTAAGCCATACTTTTTTTTTCAGAACAGGATTTCCTGAAAGAACAAGACTTTAAATTGGTACAGAGTCTAAATTATATATTTAAAAATAATCTTTTACCGTATTCTATATAACTGTACTTCGTATAGTTAAATAAAATTAGGTTTTTGTTGCGGCATTTATCTGCTGATATTCTTGATTTGTTTTGGTTAAGGATTCCCCTTTGCTTTAAAAAAAATCTTTTACTCAAGTTGGCTTTACTTTTTCTTTTAATACAAGGAAATGTATTAAACGATGTTGTTTGGCATTGTTAACGGTGTTTAAATGGCTACTGAAACTTTCTATTTTGTGGGATTTTCCATTTCAGTGGAATGGACATGACATCAATACATTGATAGTATGAGTTAAATTAATCAGCCTAGAGAGGAACATGTCTTATGAATATGGTCTGTGCCATACAGAAAATTAAAACAGAACATGAATATAAATAGCAAATGGAGGCCTCCTTGTTAGGACTAAGGCTTTATACATCCACAATGAATATACTTAGAAGAGTTTTGATATTGATGATGGTGATGATGATGGTGATGATGATGATGATAACACTAGCTACCCTTGACTTAACACATTTTATATACAGGCAGTATATGATATGCTTACTATATGCACATTAACACTAATTGTCAAAATTATTACCAAAGCAGTTTTTGATATTTCCATTTGGGAGATGAAGGAACTAAGGGTCAGGAAGATAAATCAAACTTCCAGGTTCTTATACCTAGTTATGTGGCCGAGCCGGTACTGCATGCTAAGACCATCTGACCTCAAACACTGATTCTTCCCATGTACGTCCCGTCATATTGAAAACCAGTATTTTTCTTTGATGCACAATGCTTTACCCTGGTTGTTCTAATATTAATTTGAATCCTCTGCAATGTCTTCCAAAGGTGGATGTTTCATAATTTTATTAGGATTATTTTTTCATGCTATTATTTCTCATAATATGTAGAGACTGTAATGATTTTATACAATGCATTTTTTCCATTTAAAGTATCTGAATTGGTTGTTAAAAATGATCACACTACACAAAAATTGACAAATCTTAACTTTATTTTTCTTACCTTTAAAATGGAAATAATACCCACTTGTGAAGATTAAAGTAATGTTGTGAGTATTTAGCACAAACTCTACCACATATTAGGTGTTTGGGAAACATAAATACTTTTTTCTTCTATTATTGAATTATGTTGAAAACTATAAAAGACAGATTTACTCAAGCATTCTGTTTCAAATTATCATTAATACAAATATGAACAGAACTGTGCATCAAAGGCAATAATGGATTTTGCATCACACAAAATAATGGTTAAGTTTTTCTTAGGACATAATTAGGATTTTTACTTTTTTAGAAAAAAAATTTTTTTCAAATCAAATTATCATCATTTACCAAATTGATATTACTACTGCAAAATGAAAAACTGTTTTCATCAATAGTTTGCCAACTTGGGAATTATGTCATAAATATATTTATGGACAGAAGGCATTGGATTTCCTTGTTTAATTTTCATTGTGTGCTTTATTTTTGCTGTAACTAGGGGATATAAACAATACCTTGTCACCTCGGGTACACAGAAATCTCAGCTTCTTAATTGACCTGCGCTTCAGTTCACTTTCCAGAACCCTTGATTGCAAAGAGCGGACTTCAATGGCCTTTTGGCCCCATCCTGTGGTTCGCTGTGTACACTCAAAAGCTGCAATAAAAATTTAAAAAGCAGAAAAGCAGTCAACATTTGATTAAGAAGCTCATTATTATAGTTCAGGTAAAAATATTCTTTTTTCCCTCCTTCTGCAGTTAGTCATCTGCCCATTATGCTGCTCAGCAGTGGTATTCATGCAAGCTATCTACTGTTACAATTGTGATCAATGTTGAGTAATTAGATCTCAATTAACTTTTGTATTCATATACCCTAATACCACAGAAAAAGCTAAGTGTTAATTCTATCCTGTTTGTAAAAAGTCAAATCAACTGACAGCCATTTTTTTTTTTATCTTACAGTCTAGTTGAGGTATAGCATTCCATAAGGGTTTGTATTTATGCTCAAGTGACATACATAAAAACCTGATTAACTTCAAAATTAAAACTGTTAAAAAATGACTTGCTCAGATAATGACTTTAGCAACTCTAATGGAAGTCAATGAATCACCACATTATAAACAGAACTACACCTAATTTGATACTGTTTAGGCTCAATCTTATTCAGGAAATTTTATTAAGATTTTAACTTTTGGACTCTGTGTCACTTGGTGACAGTAAAGATTATGACAATTGTATGTTGACAGATAATGACTACACTTATCGTGGTGAGCATTGAGTAATGTATAGAATTGTAAAATCACTATGTTGTACACCTGAAACTAATATAACATTGTACGTTACCTGAATTTCAATTAAAAAATTATGAAAATTGCTTAAAGCAGAAAAACTTAATTATGTAACTAGCTATATAGTCATCTGGTGCTGTAAGGTATTTTCTGACACAGGGAGCAGTATTATTGTTAAATGTTTAATATTTACTTTGATTTTATGTACTTTATAGGAAAGCAAATTTCCATAAATAAATCCAATCCTGCACTTAAAATAATATCAAAATTTTATGTCAAGCTGAAATAGTCTAGAGAACACCAAAATAATGCACCTCCATTCCTATATTAACATGACTAAAATCAGAATTCAGTTCATTAGACTTCCCATTTTCTTATTTTTAAAATATTTTTTTTTAGACAGAGAGAGTACAAGTTCAGAGGAGAGGGGCAGAGGGAGAGAGAGAGAGAAAGAATCTTAAGTAGCTCCATGCTTAGCACTGAGCCTGACATGGGACTCAATTCCACAACTCTGGGATCATGAGCTGAGCTGAAATAAGAGTCAGATGTTCAACTGACTGAGCTTCCTAGGCACCCCTCCATTTTATTCTATTATAAGCACAATAAACTCTGAGTTGTTATGATATAGTCTTAAAATTTTTATCATTGTCAAAAGTCCTAGAATACCTTTAAGCCAAAATTTACCTGGCCTATATATGTAAAAATTAAATATGCATAAAAGGACACATGAAAAACTTACTAAACTTGATTAAAGTGACTTTCTATAGGCACAGTGTGAGGCATTTAGAATTCCTCAACTAAAACCTACTAAGCATTTATTATCTCTTGCCTCTTTTCCATTATAATTCAAAGTATTTTTGTGTATGAAGTTGACTACAAAATTGTAATTAAATTATAATTGCACTTTTTTGTGCAATTATATTTTATAGTTGTATTTTTATTCAGACAAATGGCTCTCCTGGAAGAAGATTTAAGTCTAGTTTCAGACTAGAATTAAAATCACTCCAGATACAAAGTAAGTGAGGGAAATCCATGACCTGATTGATGGAAACAAGTAATAGATGTAGTCTATCCAGATTTGAATTTTTTCACCTATATGAATACTTTATTAAAATTGTTATTTTTGTCAACAACCACACAGAGCAAACAATTCTAAATTTAACACACAGGGTACTTGCTGAGTCCAAGCACACAGTTCATATGGAATTATACAATTTTCACCTTAATTCTGAAAAACATTAATTTGCCATTTAACCTAGCTACTGAGCTAGCTTGCTTATGAAATGGGATCCAATGATTTGGAGTGGGTATGTTTAGTGATACCTGCTGTGAATGCTAAGCCTCTATTTATTTGTTTGAAAATACAAATCAATGATCTTATTATTGAAAATATTTATTATATCTCAAGGTAATGTAAATTTTAGATTGGGGAAATCTGGATCTAGGTTAGTTTTAAATAACAAAGCAGTTGTTTTTAGACAGAAGGAGAAATTGATTTCCTTAATATCAGTGTTATACTGTAGTCTTTAGTATATTCTCAAAATACCCCTAATACACAAACCAAAATATCACATTCTTATAGTGCCATACTTTATTTTACATGGAGAGATACATTTTTCAAATTCTTGCAACTTAAAATAGCTTTTTGTTTTACATCAGAAGTTGTCCTGCCTAAGGACAAGAGCTTATGAGATGACATTTTAAGACCCTTTGATTCCTATGATTGTCCAGTGGCATAAATATAGGGGTTTGCCTAGTTTCCCATTTCAGCTGAATTTCCTTATTTCAATTTCTGATTAACATATTGATTGCAAATGTACCATTGTAAAGGTTAGAACAAGATTCATTTTTCAGTTTCTTTTGTCCCAGGTCTGTCAATTATAAGCATTTACCTCTGTCACTGAAAATGGTTTTAAACCCTTTGGGAGTTCTTACCTATTTGAAGAAATTGGAAGAGGTTTTCAGGACAATGCTTAACACTGTGTGCAAAAAGAAAGGATTCTGCAAATGCAATGCAAAGTGCCATCATCCCATAATGAAAAAAAGTCCATTAAAAAGCAGTTCTTTCAAACTGGTCCTTAAAGCCACATGGGAATCACACTTAACCATTTCATAAAGATTTCAGAAGCTTCCAACTCTTTAACAGACAAATTACCCTACTCTTTCTCTCTCTCTCCCTCCTTCCCTCCCTCCCGTTACTTCTCCTTCCCCCTTCCCCTTTATTTGCTTCATTAATCTCCTCTTCCTTTCAGAATCATTTACCCTCCATAAAATCTTCCTATTCTCCCTAATACTTTCCTGTTCATATGCATTGTTTCTTATCTACAATCACCTTTGTAGTCACCAAACCTCAGAAACATACACAAGAGTCTCAAGTTATTCATATTTTGCAGATGAGCAGTCCTGCATTGGTCAAGAAGAAAACAATGTTCTGGCCTGATGAAGATGAAGTCAGTTTTCTTTATGTTGCCACCTGGATAGTACCTAATAGGCATTCCAGCTAGTCATATTTATCTCTTACATAAATGAAGGACGATGAAATCTTAGTGATAACCAACATGTCACATATTTAGTGTGTATTTGACTCTTCACAGGATTATCATTCTCTAAACAGATAACTATTTACTATATGAAATAGAGATATTCTGCTCTTCTTTTATGATTATTTGGCAGTCTCCTAAGATAAAGGTAACCCCCTAACATCAGTGTGAGGGAATGAAGCATTTCCAACATCTGCATAAAATCTGCAACCAAAGGGAATTAAAATAAAATTATGGATTATTGTGGAAAGGAATTCCTTTCTTATTTTAATTTTATGATTATTGCACATGAACAACTAAAGCAGTTGAAATTAGACTCTTTGTAGTAGCCTTGTGAATTCATTAAGCATATGGCAAACACGCACAACTTAGTAAGTATGCAGTATCCTAAATTAACCCTATATGCCTTGAGGAAATGTGATATTTCAGAAAACAGAAATTTCTATAGGATCATATGAAAAAGAAAAAAATTTTGTACATACCTACTGAAGATGGTATGTTTTTCCACACCTCAAGAATCTTCTTGAAGAGTTGTTCATTTGCTTCCATAGAAAGGGCTTCAGCATTGAAGGTGAGCATCATGCCAATTCCCAAGGAATCAGGTAAAATGATGATATTCTGTGGTATAATGATTTCCAGGGGCTGGAATTATGTTTCATAAAGATTTATATGTCCAACATTTTATCACTACTACTTTAATTGAAGCAGCTTGACTGAGCAATAAAGATCAAAAAGGGGTTTGAAGTGCAGGGAGGAAAAGAAACTTCTATTTTAATATTAAACAGCATGCTATCTAACATTTTAATATTAAACACCATGCTCTCTTTGAAAAGAGCCTTTTCCATGTCATAAAGACATCACTGTTTAAATAGTGTACTTTAGAAAACTTTGTTTGAAAAAAAGCAGAGAGATATTTCCAACACAGGAAAAATTGTTGAAATATAACAAAGTGTGTATAATGATAAAAGAAACGTTACTTGTTACAGAGTTGGACTACAGATTCATTTCAGCACACTAATGAATACTTTAGTGATGAATATGCGAACCAACTAACAAATACACAATCACTGGTTATCTACACAATTAATTTACATCAGAAATAGAAATTTAGCTTTAAAAAAAGCTTGAGCTTGAAATGTTTACAAGGGGCAACTTTATAATATTCATCACTGCTTGAAATAAAACAGCCATTCTCCCTTCACAAAAATGTAGAATTTCTTATCTAAATTATATAATCATAAAATATCTTCAATACACAATTCAGACATGAGAGATGTATCAGGTGACATAATATGAAATATTAAGCAATATCTAAGAATTCGTTAATTTTATGATGTTAAAACAATGTGATCAATTTTAAACTACATAAATTGCCACATTAGTAGTATTTCTCTGAGAAATGAACAATTACATTCCTTTATTATTTCTCTAAATTAGCAAGTTACAAGAAAATAAGGTCAGAAACTATACTTGCCAAACCCAGCGCACTCAGGCCAAGTGCTTGAGGCCATGTCTCAGCAACAACAATCCTTAAAACTAAAATGGGGATCCAGAGGCGAAAAGCAAATTTAATGCGTTCCCTGGGCACTTGCATGAGCAATTGAATCAGAAAAGAGATGAAGGAAGAGAGAAAAAGAAATTTCAAGGAAGAAAGTTGTCTAAAAACATCTGGTTAGAATAGAGGTGGACTGCTGTAAACCCAGAAAGCCTCAGAGGTAATTCCCTTGCTTCTCAGAAGATTCCTGCAGTAACCAGATATTCTTTAGCACACATGGCTCCCTTGTAGCATTACAGGTTTTGTACTTTGGAGCTCTTGGAAAAATTGCATTTTTAGTGCATTCTGTTTCAGAAGACACTCCCCTCCATTTTATTAGAGTCCTTACTGTTTTAATGGGTCAAGACACTAGGGCATTTAGCTAAAAATACTATTTTTTTGAATATACTTAAGGTATCATAATTAGGTCATAAAATAATTTTTTAAAAACTGATCTCTCATTCTTGCTTCTACAATAATGAACTGATTGTTTCAAAAGGAAATAATTCTCCTTGCTTGGTAATCAAGTAGAACACAGAGTGCAATCTTCCTGAATGATGTTTCAAATAAGTATAAACTTGGACCAATATTGCAATGTTTAATATGGCACTGGCTTCAAAATGAAGGCTATCTGCCATGTCATAAAAAAAGATTCAGGAAGCTATGGAAGACATTCCAACTGACAAGTACTATAATACTTACATTAATATTAATCTGAACTCATATCTAAGTGACTTTGGCTGGGCATGGTTCAATGCTTTCTACATTATAAACAGGGTGGTTTCTATATACTCATAGGTGACAACTGAGTGATCAACTAATTAGATTGTTAATATGACCAACATGTTTTTTTAAATGTCTCCACTAATGATCTGACAATTGCTCTATGTAATTTTTCAGAGATGTATGAGACAATTCTGAAAGCTATGTAAAATATCATATTACTACAGTGACTTAAAAGTACAAAAAAGTTTTCTCCTGGACTTTTATATAATGCTAAACTGCTAAAATTTTAGTTGTCAACAAACTGTGGAATTAAAAAAGGGTGAAGCAGAGATTTGTTGTTTCAGCCCTTTTTAAAAAAGATATAATTTTCAATAAAGCAAACATCACTGCTACCATCAAATTTGAGACACTCAGAATCATATTTTGTATGGTGCATGTGTGTGGGGGTATTATGTTCGAACTCTATAAATTATGTGTATGGTATTTTTACAATTATCCATATTTTAGATATTTCCCCATAGTCTCATTACTTATAATTATTTAAGAGTTAAGAGTTGAAGTACATTATCTTTTAAACTGCTGAATTCTTTGATCAGAAATTCTAACTATAATTGATACTATATAAGAGAACACTATGATAATTTGCTATATGCCACAGTTAAAGCACTAGGATTTGGATAATGAAGGAGGGTACATATAATAATGTTGCAATACTGCTGTATTTTTAATGAATCTGTTTAAAAATGTATTATGGGGTACAGAAGGACTAAAAGCAAAGATTGCAAACTCATACATCTACTAGGGCTAGTTATTATAAATACATAAAGGTGAATGGATAGGCAATGTATGTGTATATTCCATCTAAAAGGGGGCAGCCATAAAAAAATAAAAATAATAATAAAATAAAAGGGGCCAGACAGGAATAATTTCCAGTTGATAATGGCCAGATAGTAATGAGAGCCAGATGTTATCAGACCTTTTGGTTTATCAATGGAAGTCCAGATTTTTAAGTGTAAACTCTATTCATTTAAAAACAAACAAACAAAAACACTGTGCAAGACAAAATATATCTGAAGAATAAACAGACTCAGCTGTGTGGCTAAGAAGCCATTAGTGATTTCTGTTTATCCATTACTACTTTCTGGTACTCTATACTTATCTTTTAGGTTTCAGCTCCAGTATAGATATTCATAATCATATTTTTAAATCTTTAAGAGTTTTGACTGTTAGAAAAACTCAAATTGTGGTGTACAATTTCTAGGGATCTTACGTTATTTGGCAGAGTCACATCAGACATAACCTCAGATTCTGCATCAATGATGTGATATCCATCTGCTGAGCTGAAGAAAATCTTTAGTCTTTTTTCAGAACCAATAGCCAGGTCAACTGTCACTGGCTTATGACCAACTGTTGGAAACACCTGTAGATATAAAACCAAATATGGCCGAAAGGCCAAAAATGACACTCTGACTAAGGTAAATGTTCCCACGCTCTTGTTTAACATGTTTATAAAATCCTGGTTGATTTCTAAAATTATATAATGCATTTAGAGACCTATGTATTATCAATTTTTCTTAGGTCTGTTACTATAACAAGAACATAATTATATTGAGGTTTTAAATTTTGAGTTTTCCTTCAGAGGCCAAATCTTCAATGATTATAAGAACCTTGTATGGCCTGCACTCTTTTCACTCTTTTTTCTGTCTTTAAATTCCTTGCCTTGAGTTTCAGCAGATGAAGGAGCTCATCTGGTCTCTTAAACCGGTTTGCTGGATCAGCTGCCTGTATTTTTGCCAGTATTCGTATATAGGCTTCATAGGACATGTAGTCTCCTTCGGAGTCTGCTGATTGATCAATGCATACTTGGTAGGGAATGAAAAAGGCCAGACATGTTAACCTACCATAGAATGGATGTACTCTAGGCTCCTATGATTCCTAATCCAAGGAAACAAAAAGCCAAACAGGATTCATTGCCAAGTTCAGGTCACAGGAGAAGACTGGGCATCACAGGATTCACCATACTGTAGTCATGAGGTGAGATTCAAGAACTAGAGGGAGGACTTTGACCAGAAACTGTATATCAGGCTAGACAGATTGTTGGTACTTATCTTCTTTGTTTTCCAGCTCCATATCAGGCAGCTCTGACCAATCAGCAGACAGCCAAGAACAAACCCATATCCAAATACTGACAGCTGACCCAAGGCCCAATTTAGGGAGATCAGATCAGACCTGCCAGGGCAGACACAGACTGTCTAATATAGTAGTCTGTGCTATTTACAAAAGAACATACTTATTATTCAAATAGACATTAAGAGGCAGTTATAGAAATTAGCCCATCTTATTGCATACATGTGATGTTTTGGCCTTGAAAATATACCATGTAAACAGATCCTGACCTTAGATACAAAATTATTTAATAAATACCTTGTTGGAGTCTATCATGATGTGTCCTTAATCAGTGCTTTGTAAAAACTTGTGCATGGACCAACTAGTTCAAAGTCACCTGAAACATTTGCTAAAAATACAGATTCCCAGGCCCTACTCCAGACCTACTAATTCAGCCTGGGGTTGGGTCTGAGATCTAAACTTTTAACAAATGTTGCAGATGATTCTGATGTTCACTCCAGATTAGGATTTATTGGGGCTGTATATAATGCTCCAAGTTCATTAATCAGTCCTCACTGCTACAGAATAAGCACAAAATCATCCTATTTCACAAAATTCTGGAGTATTATTAAAAACTAATAAACATAAAGAGTCCCCAGTTTATGAGATGTGATTAAAAAATCATTAGTGACTTAGTTGTTTGGGACACCAACTGGTTACCTTAAGAGACTGATCCATAGAAGTTCAGTTAAACCATAATAAGGGTGGAAATATTACTGGTAATCCAAATAAGCCTAACCACCATTCCTTGCAATAGTTCTGGAGAGAAATGTGTTTAGAGTTCCAGCTTGGATGAGATATAGACCCACCCTTTTCTCACCACCCCCATCCTTGTAGCCCTGGTAATTAGAGCAAAGGCTTTCTCTTCCCTCATTCCTCTTTCAGTGGGGCTCTCCCCTCTACCATTGCCACACCTTTCCTCACCTTCCCTCTGCTCTCCACCCCCCACTAAGAGAGAACAGGGAATTTCTCAGCTTCAAGTCATTGGGGTGGCACCCAAAGCCTGTGTTTGGGGCTCTAGAAGAAAAAGTCTTCATGTTGAGTACAGGAATTGGGAGAGAGGAGCTGGTAGGGTAGTCCTCTAAGGGGAGGGGTCAGGGATTTCTCTCATACTCTCCCTTGCTGTGTGGCACCTGTGAATTATCTAAAAAAGGGTTAAATGATAATTATTCACATGGTATAGTCAAATTACATTAACTGTAGAAGAATGGTATATATTTCTGCCAGTATATTTCAAAATATTGTTGTGTTTACAATTTCTCAAAAGAAAAACCATATGATCTAAAGAAAATGGAGACCACTTACTTTAATAGCAGTACTTTCATCGAAGGACTTTGGTGCCCATGCATAAAGGTGAATTGATGACTTCAAAGCAATTGCAATATATGTTGTTTCTTCATGTTGGACTACAATGATAAAACACAAAGAAGTAACAATGCCACAGAGTTAACAAGAACACTCAGGTATTTGTATTGGTCATTAAGAATGTTATAACCACAATATAAGCACAGATTATATATATTAGAAAAGCTTTTTAGTTACAATTTGATGCCCCCCAAAAGGTGACAAAACTAACTATATAGTTTTATGAAGTGTATGCATTAGACTTTAAGAGTACTCTAAATTGTACACTGAAAACTACAGAACATTGCTGAAAGAAATTAAAGGAGACCTAAATAAATGGAAAGACTTTTTGTTCATGGATGGGTAGACTTAACATTCTTAAAGGGCAATACATGGATGGACCTAGAGGATATTCTGCTAAGTGAAATAAGTCAGACTGAGAAAGACAAAGACTGTATGACTTCACTCATATGTGGAATCTAAAAAAAAAAAAGGAATAAACAAACAAAAATCAGAATCAGACCTATAAATACAGACAACAAACTGATGGTTGCCAGAGGGAAGGCAGTCAGGGGATGGGCAAAGTTGGTGTAGGGGAGTGGGGGATAAAGGCCTCCAGTTAGGGAATGAATAAGTCATGGAAATAAAAGGCAAAACATAGGGAACATAGTCAACGATATTGTAATAACATTGTATGGTGACAGATGGTAGCTACATTTGTGGTGAACACAGCATCACATACAGAGAAGTTGAAGCAATATGTTGTACACCTGAAACTAATTTGATATTATATTGTCAACTATATTCAAAAAAATCCAGCTGAGCCTTGCTCAACTCACAGACTTATCAGAAATAATAAATTACTGTTGTTTTAAGTCACTAAATAAATAAATAATAAAAATGTAAATATTTTAAAAAGTGGACAGTACTATCTAAAGTGATCTATGGACTAAATTTAATTGCTACTAAAATATCAATAGACTCTTTTGCAGAAATGGAAATGCTGATCCTAAAATTCATGGTATTAGAAGAGTCCTTGAATAGCCAAAACAATCTTGCAAAAGGAAAACAAAGTTGAATGACTCATACTTCACAATTTCAAAACTTACTACAAGCTACAGTAATCAGAACAGTGTAGTACTGAGATAGGCATAGGCGTATAGATCAACAGAGTAGAATTTGGAGTCTATAACTAAACCCATATATCTATGGTCAATGGTGTCCTATCCATTCAATTGGGAAAGAATATTCTCTTCAACAAATGCTACCAGGACAACTGAATATCCACATACAAAAGAAGAAGTTGGACCCATTACCTCACACCATATGCAAAAATTAATTCAGAAGGGATCAACGACCTAAATGTAAGAGCTAAAACTATAAAACTCTGAGTAGTAAATATAGGAATAAATCTTCACGGCAATGGATTTTTATATTTGACACCAAAAGCATAAGAAACAAAAGAAAAAAATAGATAAATTGAGTTTTATCCAAATCAAAATTTGGGGGCATCAAAAAAACACTATCAAGAAAGTGAAAATATAATCTATGAAATGGGATAAAATATTTGAAATTCATATATCTGATAAGGGCCTAGTATCCAGAATATATAAAGAATGCTTACAACTCAACAACAATAAGTAAATAAATAAATAAATACATACATACATACATACATACATGACAACATTAGTTATCAGGGGAACACAAATCAAAACTACAATGAGATACCACTTCACTTGGATGGCTAGAATCAAAAGACAGACATCTACAAGTGTTGGTAAAGATGAAGAGAAAATGGAGCCTCCATACTTACGGCAATGTAAAATGGTGGAGCCACTTTGAAAAACAGTCTGGCAGTACCATCCAAGAGAATATAAAACATGCATTCCCATGTACAGACACATGTATGACAGGTTAATACATTTTGTGTATTAATCCACATTAATTTGTAAAGAGTATAAATGTATAAATAATGGATGTGCAAAAATCATATGAACAAAAGGTATATCTATACAATGCAACACTATTCAGTAATAAAAATAATAATTGATACAAGTTATACAGGCTACAGCATGCATGAACCTTGAAAACATTATACTACATGACAGAAGCCTGTCACAAAAGACCATATAATATATGATTCCATTTAAATAGATTGTTCAGAAAAGAAAAAGTTATAGCAAAAGAAAGTAGATCAGTGATTATTTAGGACTCTGAGGAGAATAAGGTTAATGTAAGAGAGATGGAATGTGGAGTGATTGCTAATGGCTATGGGGGTTATTTTGAGATAATGAAAATGGTCAAAAAACTCTACAAGCATACTAAAAACCATTGATTGTACACTTCTAAATGGGTAAATTTTATGGTATGTAAATTATTTCAATACAGCTGCTTAAAAAAAAGAGAAATGAATAAAAAGTATATGCTTTCTTTCAGACCTTCTAATTCTTATGGAATATGTTGTCCTACTTCCTAGATTTATATTTTGTGTTAAAACCCTTTTCCCTTGTTTAGAACATTGTTTCTGTCCTTTCTAGTCAGACTTCATCAGAGACAAAATATAAGGCTTCTCCCCGCTTCTCTTATTCATACCTGGCCCCCCCCCCCCTTGGTGTTGCTCTCACTCTCGCTCTCTCTCTCTCTCTGACTCTGGTTGTTACTTTTTCTTTTCGACACCCAAGTAGGCTAAAGAAGTATGATTAATATACCCCCAACAAGCAAAGAAATTCTCTGTTAAGCAAACACTTCCTATAATTTTAGTATATGGCAGTAATTGGTGTCAGTCCATTATTTTATGGATCTTGAAAGGCTATGAAAATTCCATGCAAATATGAGTACATGGCTGTCCTCCTATATTCACATGTCAATAAGACAAAGGCTTTTAGTTGTTATGGGAGGGTTGTAATGGGTTCAGCCAGGAAAAAAACTCCTTAACTAATCCATATACTCACCAAGAACACAGATTTGCAAGATGTTCTTGTAATTGATTATTGTAAACTCTCTCTTGTTGAACTAAAAAATTTACAAGTTAATAGGAGGCAGTTCTGCTATACAAACCCTTTGTTTAACATCTTGGGATCTCTTTCACCTTTGGCTACTAAATACATACAATATGATTTGGAGGAGAGTAGTGATACATAAAACTAGAAAAAAGTTATTTAATGCCTAGTTTGTCTGGGTACTCATTTCTCCCTTTAATGGTGTATGTGTACTTATATAAACACATATGGAAAACTATTCTGGAAAAGCCTCTTTATATACAGAACAGAAATGGTCAGTCAGGATAGCAACACCCTGTTAAAATATCATGTAATTCCAGCTATCTTTTATCTATGTCACTAGTTCTGTCTGAAGGGGTAATTAATGAAAAGGAAAGGAAGAAAACAAAGGCTGAGAGGAGATTTGCTTCAGAAATAGAACAGAATGGGATATTATAACTGTCTAATTGTTGACAGATGAGAGCAGGATTCTGAGACCCTGGAGTTGTTACCTCTTTTTGCAGTGGATAGTTGTAAAGAGATAGGACAAATGAAAACAATCTAACAGAAAAATATTTAGCAATTATATTCATGAATATTGATAGTGGAAGCAAGAACCAGCAGACCACAGAGGAATTTTCTTTTCTACTCATTGCAAAGTTTCCTAGTCAGTATTAAAATAAATTTTCCAATTAAAAAAGTGGAATTATTATGCGATTCTATTTTATTGCTTTTCCAAAGAAAGATAATATCATATGAATCTCCATACAGGTATCGCAGATCCATTAAAAACATTCATTTTAAAAATTTTTTAATGTTTATTTTGAGAGAGAGAGACAGAGCATGAGTGGAGGGGGTGCAGAGAGAGAGGGAGATACAAAATCCAAAGTAGGCTCCAGGCTCTGAGCTTTCAGCAAAGAGCCCAACACAGAGCTCAAACCCACGAACCGTGAGATCATGACCTGAGACAAAGTTGGATGCCAAACCAACTGAGCAACCCAGGCACCCCCAATGTACTTTACTAAATGAAGGAAAGCAAACTTTATATAGCTATAGTAAACATGAAAAGAGACTTACGGACACTGAAGTGTTCACAACCTGTCAGTTTATCAATAGCTTTGCAGGCTTCTTCTGTCTTTAGCATCTCCTCTTGTCTTCTTTTACTATCAGGATCATCATTCAAAATCTTGTTCCTCAGCCAGGTCAAATGATACACCCTAAGTCTGTTCTTATGGCCTGATAGATAAGAAACGGTATTTCAATTCTGTCTATTTTTTCTTATATTAGAAAGAGAAAATAATAACAGTATTTTGTCCTTTTAACAAAATCTTCTCATTAAAGTAAAAAGCACTTTTAGAAAAACTACACTATATTAGATTCTTCCTGTCAGGATTTATAAATATGATAGAAAAGTCTTTCTTAGTCTCTCACTTCCAAGAGATAGTCAAAATGTCTACCAGCTACCTATCTGCCTATCTGAAGAAATGTAAAATACATCTTTGGGACAGATTAAGACTGCCATGGTGCAGGCAATAGAATTACCATCCATGTTTTGGCTTTTATCTAAGTCATGATCTTTCTGGGATTCAGAGACCCAGAAGCTGTTCCTGGTAGTATGTATGCATGAGAGGGATGTCTGATATATTCACTGTTAGGCATTCGGGGCTAGTGGGAAGGGTCTTTTTGTGCTCCTTCTTTCCAGCATACTTAGAAAATAAGTAAAGTTTTATCATGTTTTTCTCAATCCAATTTATCTTTAATGCTAATTTTCTAATTGTAAATCCCAGCAAATTCTTTCAATTCCTTCAGGAAAAACAGACCATTAAATTACACATTTATTTGTATACATAGTGACTTCATATTCATTTTTATAGTTTATTTTTATAAGATTTCTAGGCCCAACAATAGGATTCTTCCTTGTGATTAATCTTACATACGTTTTTGCATGACATTTTTTAAAGCAGCATTAGAATTCAGACATCTAAGTCTATTTCAATTCTACTCTTAAGAGGTAGAATAAATTTGTACTCTAAATAATTAGGTATCTTTATACACTGATGTTCTCAGTATTATTTGATGCAAAAATAATCTACATTTGAGAGAAACTTAAGCATTAAAAAGAGCACATTTTGGTTAGAGAAAGTTGGATAAAAAATAAATAAATCGGTTTTCCAGATGTGCAGTCTTTTGGCCACCCAGATGTTTTCAAAATCTAAATGTTGTATCTGTGTACCTCAAGCAATTATAAATTAATGAAAATGAAACATGATCAAAAAATCATGAAGCTTTAGCATATCTAGAGAGTATTTCCCCCCAACCAAAACCTAAAACAGAGTTAATAATTTTTTGGAAAATAAATAATCATTAATTAATGTGCCACATAGCTACTAGGTACAGACAGGAAGTATGCAAACACATAAATAGCTGTAATTAGCTTCATTTTATTCTACAAACTATTTTTTTAACTTTTCCTATCCTTTTGTCAATCACCTTTTGCCTGCAGTTGGCGTTAATACTAGTGCTTTTCTAATACTGAGTACTGTTTAGTAGTGACAATTATTATTAACATCTGTTTACTTTCTCTCTCATATTCAGAGATTCAGGCTCTGACTGACCAAAATTAAGAAGTTCATTTACTATGTGGGAATAAGGTTGAGGTCTTAGGGTATCTGTTCTTGTAATTAATCCTATCTGAAGACTCTCATGATAAGGCTGTGCCAGGGGCAACACTTTCATTTTTATCCAATTATTGTCCAGTTTGTTCTTTGTTAACTTCTGGCAAATCACAAGAAAAGTATATGATGAATGTGGTCATGTACACATGGGTGGGTAAAATTGTGAGTCATAAGGTTGTAGGTGGCTACTCAGAAAATACATGAAAGATGTAAATGACATGTTTTTTTCTTATCAATGACTTAGGTGCATTACCAGCAAATATCCAGACACAGAAGGAAAGTCAGAAGTTAGTTCAAACTGTAAATAGACAAGAAAACACAAGTAGGAAAGTTTGGTGTCCCAATTTAAGGTTATATTTAAAGTGCTTTCCTATGAACACTGTCACCTGAGAAAGTCTTTAGCCTAGTTTGGAACCTAATTTATCTGCATAATTACTTAGCTAATTTTAGTTCTTAAACAAACCGGAGATGGTAATCAGCAAATTGAGTGGCTCTACAACTTGAATCTGACGGAATGGTCTTCGCTTTATGAGTTTAGTAATGTCTGCCTTTCCACTTCTGTCCATCAGATACAGATTAGATCGAGTTCCCAACAGCAAATTCACTCCTGTTTGTATATAAAAAGAAAGGTACTATATTAGCTCAGATCACATTTTTTTATAATTGAATTTATATTAGTACTTTTGCTACTCCAGTGTGCTGATCTGTGCAAACATGACTGATAACACTTTAGGCTAATGTTAACCTCATACTGTGTAACAGTGAAGCCTATCAACAGAACAAATTTCACTGAAATACACTACAATGTAGAAGATAATACCCTCTGGCAATATTCTACTGGCGGGTATCTGGTGTGGCATCTCAAAAGGAGAACTTTATAAATATCTGAGCATCCTTTAGCAGTGTCCCAAACTTTAGAAAAATTAATCAACCGTTTTGAAAATTACCATTAAACATTAAGGATGTCTATTGCATATGAAAACTTCAATTCAGTTGATTTGTCATTCCTAATTATAACTAAAGGTTTTAATGCTTTTAAAATAATTATATACAAATTGTTTTTAAATTGAGTGATTCTGTGTTCATGCAAATATTTAAAACTTACATTTTTAAATACCTATGAAAGTAGTTCTTACTTTTATTTATCTAAATTTCTACATTCTATAGTCTACTTGCTCTATTTATTCAAACATAAACACGGTTTAAAGACTGAATGAGAGGACTGAAATGGAAGATTACGCTAAATTAGAATATACTTCAAACCACTGTGGGAGTTTTCCCCCCATAACCTGAGGAAAAACTCATCAAAGTAATACAATGGAGAGTATTTCAGTGTCTTCCTTCTACTTGTAGACTATTTGTGTTTCAAGGATATAAGGAGAAAAGGCAAGTGTCTCTGCTTTTACCTTCCTACTCTGTCCTTTACCAGTTCTCTAAGTAATGGCCTGTGGTGGATTTAGGAACTGCATCTCCTCCCACAGGGGAATCAGAGACAGAGGGGAAAATATAGTCAATTTTGACCATAATCTTTTATTTTTCAAAATATAAAACCACAAGTTATAAAAATGAACGAGACACTAACTAGATCTCTGGGTAGTTGTCTGACTGAAATGATAATGAAGTAAACTTTGCTTTCTTGTTATCTGACATAATATATTAGCTTTGAGGATAACATGGTTTTTTCCAAGTTGTTCAGTCCATATAACTATACTGTTTTCTACACTGCTCTACTTTTAATTTAAAATTCTGTCCCTGTTTACTACACTGCTCTATTTTTAATTTAAAATTCTGTCCCATGTTCAATCATACATTAAGCAAAATCTATGAAATTGCAAGTGAGAGGTTGGAATTTACTTTGAATTTCTTCCCTCTTTCCATTTATTTATTGTTTCACTTATGATCAGACTAACTTTAGTAAAATATTGTCTGAGCCTTATTAATATGGTTATAATTATTCTGGAGCAAAGGATTGAAAAAATCTATCATTAAGACATTATCAAAGGTCATCCAGATGGCTAACATACACATGAAGAGATGCTCAACATCACTCATTCATTATCAAGGAAATACATATCAAAGCTACAATGAGATATCACCTCACACTTATCAGAATGATTAAAATGAACAACATAGGGAACAACAGATGTTGGTGAGGATGTGGTGAAAGGGGAACCCTCTTACACTGTTGGTAGTAAGGTAAACTGGTGCAGCCACTCTGGAAAACAGTATGGAGATTCCTCAGAAAGTTAAAAATAGAACTACCCTATGGCCTAGTAATTGCACTACTAGGTATTTACCCAAAGGATACAAAAATACTGATTTGAAGGGGGACATGCACCTCAATGTTTATAGCAGCATTATCAACAATAGCCAAATTATGGAAAGAGCCCAAATGTCCATCAAATGATGGATAAACTCATGGATAAAGAAGATGTATATATATACAACGGAATATTACTCAACCATAAAAAGAATGAAATCTTTTCATTTGCAACGATGTGGATGGAACTAGAGTATTACGCTAGGTGAAATAAGTCAGTCAGAAAATGACAAATACCATATGATTTCACTTACATGTGGAATTTAAGAAACAAAACAGATGTACACAGGGAAAGAAAAAAATAACAGGAGGCAAACCATAAAAGAGACTCTCAAGTATAGAGAACACACTGCCGTTGCTGGAAGGGAGGTTGCCCGGGGTGATGGGCTAAATGAGTGACAGGTAGTAAGGAGGGCATTTATTGTGATGAGAATGAGGTGTTACATGTTAAATGATGAATCACTAAATTCTACTCCTGAAACTAGTATTACAGTGCATGTTAACTACTAGAATTTAAATAAAAACTTGAAACATTGAAAAAAGACATTATCAAAGGAACTTTCTCTACAAATCCTCAAAATTATTTTATTTATTTATTTATTTATTTATTTGCTTGTTTTTATTTATTTTTGAGAGACCACAAGCAGGGGAGGGGCAGAAAGAGGGGGGTCAGAGGAGCCGAAGTGGGTTCTGTGCTGACAGCAGCAAGCCTAATGTAGGGCTGGAACTCACAAACCACGAGATCATGACCTGAGCCAAAGTTAGACGCTTAACTGACTGAGCCACCCATGTGCCCCAATCCTCAAAATTATTTAAAAACAAGAATGTAAAGAAATCTGTCTTGTAATATCTCATTAGGTATTATATGCTACACACTACCCTAAATTAAAAATACTAAGCTCAGGGGCGCCTGGGTGGTTCAGTCAGTGACCGACTTCGGCTCAGGTCATGATCTTGCCCTTCATGAGTTCAAGCCCTGTGTTGGGCTCTGTGCTGACAGCCCAGAGCCTAGAGCCTGCTTCAGATTCTGTGTCTCCCTCTATCTTGGCCCCTCCCCCACTCATACTCTGTCTCTCTCTTAAAAGTAAACAATCATTTAAAAATTTTTTAAAAAATACTAAGCTCAAATTTTTAAATAATCATAGCCTAATCCAATATTACATTAATTACAGATAAGTTAAATATGTATGTGTGTGTATGTATATATATATATATATATATATATATATATACATACACACACAAAGTTAATAAAAAGGGTAGGGATGATTGCCAATTCAAGCATCAAAAATCAAACTGAATTGAGTGAAAATAAATCAGTAAAAAAAAGGGAACAAATGAACTACTATAAATAAATATGTTTTATTTGCTTGATAATGGTTTAGTAATAAGAAACAAGTGTTTAACATCTATGCTTTTTCACAAGTTTGCTACATTGATAAAAATATATTCTTTAAAAAGGAACAACTCAGTTTTAAGAAGCTAAACATACCCCACAAAGAACCACAGCAGATCTCAGAAGTGAATTCCTTTTCATACATGTGGATTAGTGGTTTTTTACATTCAGGAGACACATATAGTGGGTTAACGTTGACTTCAGATGGTGGCTTAGGTGATTTCTCAGGTGCTTCCATTAACCCAGCATACACTGTGAAAAGTAAAGGTAAGATATTCAGAGAAATTACTAGTGTACACACCAAATATGCTTGAATGTTTCCACAAATAAGACACAGCATAGAAAAGCTTCTTTTCCTTTATTGTATTTTGTTTATCCAGGATTTATCATTTCTGTAACTCCTAAACCATCAGATAACACAAATCATGATAGTTAAAGTACTTTTCTGAATATGAATATATTTCAAATTACCACAATTAGATTGCCAAAAAATAATAAACCCAGATGAGGTACTCGATTACTTATTTGTAGTTTATTTTTTATTCAATGTTTATTTATTTTTGAGAGAGAGGGAGACACAGAATCCGAAGCAGGCTCCAGGCTCTGATCTATCAGCACAGAGCCTGACACAGGGCTTGAACCCATGAACTGTGAGATCATGACCTGAGCTGAAGTCAGATTAACCGACTGAGACACTCGGGTGCCCCATACGTACTTGTAGTTCAAATTTAGGTGCCATAAAGACTCAGTGAAGAATATATTTTTTAAAGCATATATTCATCCGAATTTATGTTAACTGAATATAAGAATGATTTCATTCTTTTCGGATCATGAACCGATGAACCAGTGGTCAAACACTACAATGTGTGAACAGACTGCAACATTTGGAGATTATATTAACATACTTACAGATGGCACTGGCAAAGTCAGCATTTGCAGCCCTCCCAGAACTATTAGAAGGAGATGAGTGGCTGGCAAAAAAACCTGATTGTGTTGACGCTTCCAATATATCCATGCTGTCATTCTTGTCATCAGGTGCTGCTGGTGCAGCATCTGAGGCAATGGCATTTGAGGCCTCACTTCTTCCACCTGGCTCCTAAAAGAAGATCAAAAACCAATTTTGACTTTATTCAGAGATTAACTGTGAAAGAAATATAATATGCCTAGAGGTCATTTGGAAAAGAGAATGCAAAATTTGTAGCATTTATAATTCCATGCCCTTTTATTTTTTTAAACATTTTTATGTTCATTTATTTTTTGAGAGCAAGAGAGACAGAGCGGGAGTGGGGGAGGGGCAGAGAGAGAGGGAGACACAGAATCTGAAAGAGGCTCCAGGCTCTGAGTTGTCAGCACAGAGCCCGATGTGGGGCTCGAACCCACATACAGTGAGATCGTGACCTGAGCCCAGTCAGCAGCTTAACTGACTGAGCCACCCAGGCGCCCCTATCCTTTTAAAATCTACATTTCTCAGAAGAACTCAACAATCTCATCCATTGAGACAATTGATGTCAGAGGAAAAATTAAATGAACTTGAAATCCCTAACTGTGAAATTTGGGGCCTAATATTTGTGGAATTTTATTATATACTAAGTACACTGTTAGTTATTTTACTTACATATTATTGTGAATCCTTATATCAACCCAAAAATAAGTATAATTATCTTCAGTTTACTTACAAGGAAACAAACGCTTATGAAACTTAAATAATTTATTCAAAGTCATAGAGATAAGTAGGAGGGCCAGAGTTTGAAGCCAAAGTTTGATTTTAAAACTTATGTTCAGCTATGCCATGCTAAACAGCCACTTGAAAAAATAAGAAAGTCACCAGAGTTGGGGGTATCAATTCTATTTTGTCTTATGACAAAGCTAATGATGGAATATCAACCAACACAAATTCTAGGGTGAACATGCCACACTGAAAATCTGGTTGGTTTCCATCAACTTACGTAGAAGAAACTCAAGGATAAAAGCCACAAAATGGACAGAATGTATGTGGGGAGCCATGTCCTGTGCAAAACATACCAACTGTTTTTGGTAAGCCTTTCTATTGATAAGCAGTTCTTTGCATCTAAACAGTGATTCTTGGCATTGAGAGAGCTGTACTGCCCTGTCAAAGACTTGTTTTTATGACCTTTCCAGCAACAAAAGTATTGTATGGCAACATGTCTTTTTTAAATTAAAATGAAAAGAATACCCATTCGTTCTGTAAATGTCAAAAACTGTTCCCTGTGATAGAGATACCCAGGGGTGCTAAGAAAACAAAACTGATAGGGTATCCTGTTTTAACGTCTTTAATTTAGATAGACAAGTAGGGAGGGGGTGGGAGGAAAGAGAGAGAGAGAGAGAGAGAGAGAGAGAGAGAGAGAGTCTTTCCCACTGCTTTCCCATTGGAAACTATCTAGGGAATTTTCTTCCTTCCTCAATTCCTTCTGTAATTATTGTGTCTATCTATCATAGACCAACTCCTAGTTTGGACCCTGGGATTGGGTGAGTTGACAGAGAAAAGTAATTGAGGATGGATTAAACATAGCTTCTGCCTTTTAAGAGTTCACAATCTAGTATGGCAGAAAAGCAAGTAAACAACCAAATACAATGTCACAAGTACTAAAATTAAACTATAGGCAAAACGCTTGCAAGCACACAGGGAGGGGTATATAATTCCATCCTGAAAAGTGCAGCCGCTCTGGAAAGCAGTGTGGAGGTTCCTCAGAAAATTAAAAATAGACCTACCCTATGACCCAGCAATAGCACTGCTAGGAATTTATCCAAGGGACACAGGAGTACTGATGCATAGGGGCACTTGTACCCCAATGTTCATAGCAGCACTCTCAACAATAGCCAAATGATGGAAAGAGCCTAAATGTCCATCAACTGATGAATGGATAAAGAAATTGTGGTTCATATACACAATGGGGTACTACGTGGCAATGAGAAAAAATGAAATATGGCCTTTTGTAGCAACGTGGATGGAACTGGAGAGTGTGATGCTAAGTGAAATAAGCCATACAGAGAAAGACAGATACCATATGGTTTCACTCTTATGTGGATCCTGAGAAACTTAACAGGAACCCACGGGGGAGGGGAAGAAAAAAAAAAAAAAGAGAGGTTAGAGTGGGAGAGAGCCAAAGCATAAGAGACTGTTGAGAACTGAGAGCAACCTTGGGTTGATGGGGGGTGGGAGGGAGGAGAGGGTGGGTGATGGGTATTGAGGAGGGCACCTTTTGGGATGAGCACTGGGTGTTGTATGGAAACCAATTTGACAATAAATTTCATATATATTAAAAAAAAAAAAAAGATAATATATAAGTTGGATCATGAGGATGACTAATTACCCAAGCAGAGAAGAGGTGAGGGGGCAGCCTTACAGACAGAGGGAACAGTTTGCACAAGGGCACTAATTCATGAAAGAGCATGGCATCTTGTAAGCCAGTTTGTGAGATAGGACAACAGTCTGGGAAAGTAAATTGGCATGATCTTCCCTCTGTCTGGAATATCACCTGTGTTTTCAGATATCTAAGAACTTCCTGTTTGTCAAGAATTAGGTCAAATACCACATGCTCCAGGAAATCTTCTCTGTGATCATTCCTATTGATCTGGCATTTGTGAAGCTATTTGACTATTTTTAAAACTATTTATAAAGTTAGTAATGTTTTGTGAATGATAAAATCATTGTCTAAACACAATACATTACTTCTATTTAAATAGTATGTGTTAATAGTTCCTCAAAAAGTTAAAATAGAATATAGCAATTCCACTCTAGCAATTCTACATCTAGGAATTCCACTCAAAATAATCGAAATAATCAAAAACAGGCACCCCAATAACATATGGTTGTACACCAGTATTCATAGCAGCACTGTTCATGATAGCCAAAAGGTGAAAACAACCCAAGTGACCATCAACAGATGAATGGATAAACAAAATGTGATATATTCATGCAATGGAATATTATTCATTAAATGAATATTAAATGAATATTATTCATTAAAATATTATTCATTAAAATGAATTCATTAAAAATGAATAAAATTCTGATAAATGCTACAACATGGATAAACCTTAAAAATATTATGCTAAGTGAAATAAGCCAGATACAAAAGGACAAATATTGTGTGATCTGCTTATATAAGATACCTAGATAGAAAGTAGAATAGAAGTTATTGGGAACTGGTGGGAGGCATAATAGGGAGTTAACTGTTTTAATTGTTTGGGATGATGAAAAAATTGTAGAAATTAATAGTAATAATGGCTGTACAACATTGTGAATGTACTTAATGCCACTGAAATGTATACTTAAAATAGTTAACATAGATAATTGTATTTTATGTATATATTACCACAATGACAACTTCCCAGAAAAAAAAAAATGTATGTGTTAAGAGACACTATCCAAAATGTGTGATCTGAGTAATAAAAGCAAACAAAAAATACATTTTTGTCCCTAGAAGTAAATAGAAACCATACAAATGAGAAGTAAAGATCTACCTATAGCTATAATTTAAAATGTTTAAGCCTTTGGGATGGAAGTTAAAAATATATGAAATGGCTGGAAATGTGAAATATCACATGAAAAAACACATTTACAAGGTGAGGAATTCATTCTCCTTTTCAAATGGTGTATTACCTCCTGTTGATGTTCAAAGTCCTGGGATGTCAGTCTCTCCAATCCTTGACCATCTGTCTCTGCTGTCTCTGAGTAATTTTCTCCTTCACTGAGTTCAAAGGCTCCACTTTCTTCATTGGTTCCACTGACTCCCTTACCTCCATTTACCTTGACTTTTCTTCCATTGCCTATATTGGCTCCATGTTCTTCATGGTCTCCAATGGCCGCACTGCCCCCACTGGCTACACTTCCTCCATGGCTTCTACTGACTCTCTGACTTCCATAGCTGTTGCATGTCCCTTCTCCACCATCATTTCCATCTCTACCATCTTGCTTGTAGCTTCCATCGCCATAGCTTGGTCTGATAACAAGATCCAATTAATGATAGCCACCGAACACAAACACATTTGAAAGTCAGCAAATAAAACAGAACTCAGATGTGTCTGATACATATGTACCACCTCTAGGAACATTTTTGTTCTATGTGAACACTACCGGTATGATATGGACAAGAAAAATACCCCTATATCCTGTCAATCTTAAATACTGAATTAATACCATAACCTCCACCAATTCCTCAATTGCATGTGGATGGCAGATGGAAGAGAACTTGCATCCTTTATTAGGAACATGTGTTAGGTTAGCAGCATGAATATGTTTTTTTTTTTTTTTTCTTAAATAATAGACTACATGCATTAGCAACTTCACAACCACATAAATGATCAAACCCATATTTTTGGCACAACCACAACATCAAATAATTCTTCTTGCAATATATTTAATTTCTGTTGATTTTAATATATGCCTCAATTTTCTAACATGTGTATTGACTACTTTGCTACAGAATCCCATTGATTTTTTCTATTACCACCACCAGGAAATAAGTAATATAGATTTCATTAAGCTGAGAGAGTCATTTAATTAGTTGCCAAGAACACCAAGCTTAACAAAATGTCTCAATGATTTTTTTTTGTTTAAGACACAACATAAACATATACCTATGATAATTCTGAAAGCAAATTTATTTTTTTAATGTTTATCTTTTAGAGAGAGAGAGGCAGAGTGCGAGTGGGAGAAGGGGCAGAGAGAGAGGGAGACAGAATCTGAAGCAGGTTCCAGGCTCTGAGCTCTCAGCACAGAGCTCAATGCTAGCCTTGAACTTACGAACCGCGAGATCATGACCTGAGCCGAAGTCAGCACTTAACCGACTGAGCCACTTAGGCACCCCCAAAAGCAAATTTATTTGAGAATGGAATTCCTGGTAGATTTTTTAGTTGGTAAAAAAGAAAAAAAAAACTATTGAATGATCTGTGGTCTGTTCTGCCATGTATATCCACCAATAACATTTGAAAATTAACCAAACAATATATGAATTTCAATATTATAAAGCAAACAATTCTCCCACTGATAATTTTTCTAAAAATGTTAACATTTACTATATTAAGTAATCTTCTTCGAGAGCAGTTTAAACACAAACCATGAGCATATGTAAATAAGAACACACTGGCCTGTTTTGAGCAGGAGAAAGGAACTATATATATAGCAAACAACTAGTGGCATGCCAAAAACATCACTTCACTAAATATTACCACTTTTGGCAGCTGCTCTATAAGAAGATAAAATTGAATGAGTACTGAATTTAGTTACAGCAGTTTGCAGAATTCCAAGAATAATGTCATGTTAGTAAGTTTCAGCCTAAAATTATCAGGTGAAAGTCAAGTTTGCAATTCATTGTTCTCAGCAAATTTGGAGATTTTGTTTGCAATATCAGGGCTTCATCACACAGTTATTACGTAGCACACTATTTGTTACCCCATTTCATATACTCACTGTGGTTTTACAGCATAAGATGACTCAGTAGCACTAATTTTAACAGAAACATTAACAATTCCAGTTATAAGGAACATAATAATTGAATACTAATAAAATATACCATATAAAAATGCAAAATGAAGTGTTTTGCATCAAAAAATTTAAATATATTATTGAAAAATGAACCATTTACTAATATACAAGTGCAATTATTCACCCTTTTGGTAATAAAATTTGAAAGTAAAACAAACATGCAAATAATTGAAACATTCTAAAATATTGGTAGTACAAGTAATCCAGAAAAACCAACCTTGGCCAACACGGAGCATCATCATGATTATTGTCTTTGTCATCAATAGCTTCATCATTGTCATTATCATCATGGTCTTCACCAATATCATTAACCCGACCAACCTGGTTATCCAAGCCATCATTGCCATTGTCATGGTCATAGGTATCTTCATAAGCATCATTAGAATCATCATCATCACCATAAGTATCAGCACCAGTATCATAGAGTTCAACATAATCACCATCCTCTTCAGGTGGCTGAATGACAGGTGCAGGAGTTAACCAATCATTCCGGAAGATTTCAGAGAGTGCATTAGAGCCTACCCATTCATTTGTCAAGTAAACAGGGGGTGATATTTTTCCTACTTTAAATCCATCTGGAACCTGTGTGCACAAGAAAGGTTAATGCAATCTCTAGTAGACTTTTATTTTCTTCTAGATTGGAAAGTTTCCAAGCTGGCAATATTTTAAAATATATTTTCAATTGAAATGAAGATATGTATTTACAAGATAAAGCCAGCATTTTTTTAAGATTGAATGCCAAAACCCAAACTTCAGGCTATGATCATTAATGGCCTTTCTGGATCACAAAGAGAACAATTTATTCACTTTGTTTTTTATTGCCCCTACTTTTCTGCTGAGGAATAGACATTTGGTTTTGGTGATAGAAAGTAAAACAGATTATTTGATGCTCTATAGAGGGTATACTCATTTTGTCCCTTTCATTATATCCTCTGATATTAGGATTAAAACATAGCTCTTAAAATTGATACTTAATTTCCTAGCTCTAGTTTTGTACATAGGTTGTCTTAAAGTAACTCAAACACTTCTAAGAACCAAATTAATATAAATGCACCTTTAAGTATGGTGTCATATAAGCAATCTTTAGGCAATCTGAAAGAGATGTGTATGTGGAGGGTAGGGATAATTACAAAAGTAAAATGGAGTGACCTGAAAGCACACTGTGGAAACAACTGGCAGACTATTGCTTATGCTGTCAGAGGGCATTTTATTTTTCTCCAAATGTGTTATTTTTATGTATTACCTCATAATCCAAGAAATTATATTAGCTAAAAGTGAACATCTAGCTTTTACTCCTTGATTTGAGATTAGCTTCTACAAAGACCTTTCTATCCCTCCTATCTGAACATGTTCTGACAAAAGCATGTGAATATAAAATATTTTATGATCAGTTTAAAGTTTCTCCATTTCAAGCTTAATTTCTAGATTTCATATTCTGCATACTCACATAGCAATGGAAATCTATCTTTGAAATACTAATTAAAAAAAAACACTTTGGCCTTTCCCTCAAGTGAAGATGAAAATATGCAGGTCTAAAGAAGTTTTTTAAGAAACAGATAAATGTGTTAAGAGTTAAGATGGCAACCTACATGAACATCAACCAGCAACTTCTGATCAATAGTAGAATAAGGCGGTGATGACTGGGACCTCCTCCAGGTTACAGGACTCTCTTCCTCAGAAGAAGATTCTGTAGAATGCCAAAAAGACATTAGTAAGTGATGACCACAACCATTGCGTTCATTTTTATAGTGTACCATTTCAATACCTTGGTATGTTTCTTGTAGCTTCTTTCCATTCAGGAAATACCACCTAATAAATTATCATGGGGCCAAGATCCTAGATTTCTGTTTTCAGGAGTAATGGCAGGCTCAAGGTTTGTTCTGTCGTAGATCTATATGGCTTTTCTGTTTTCAATATTAAGTGTACACTTGCTAAATATTTCTGTGTGAGAAGGTATCCAGTAAGACTGGTAGACAAATAGTTTCATTTAAAAAATAGTATGTATCTAGGATAGGAAGAGCTAGGTGGTATCACTGGCCTACCATACTAACTAGTAGAAAAAGAGCTCAACAGTGCATTAGAAGATGACAGATTAGACAACATTTTCAAGAGGAGAGTTGACCCTGCAATCTTAATCCCCCAATTTCCACTCAGTGATATATCTTGAAGTATTTCAATACAGTTGAAAAGTGAACAACTGAAAAGAGACAAAACCTAATGCTTTTTATAAAGCTGGGAATCTTTCTATAGCGATGTTGTGCACTAGAATTTTCTGCAGTGATAGAAATGTTCTGTATCTGCATTGTCTAATACAGTACTAGTAGCTGCACATGGCTATTGAGCATTTGCAATATTGCCAGTGTGCCTGAGGGGTTGGCATTTTAATTTTAGTTTTAATTTTAAAAGCCATATGTGGCTCTTGCTATCACAATGCACAGCTGAATTCTATAGTGTAAATATTGCCATTTAAAATGCAAATTTAGGGGTGCCTGGCTGGCTCAGTCCATAGAGTTTGCAACTCCTGGTCTCCGAGGTGGAAGTTCAAGCCCCTTGTTGGGTGTAGAGCTTACTTAAAAATACAAAAAAAAATCTTTAAAAATGCAAATTTACCTGGATTCGAAGTCTGGAGTTTTGACATTAAGATTTATGGTATAGTAAATAGCACCTGTGGTTAAAATCCAGTGAGAATATTTAGGCTCAAAAATCAGTAGATCTGGCTGAGTATCCCCAGAAAAAGTTTCACTAAGGGGGCACTTATGTCCCTGCTTATTGTTTTAGTGTGCTTAGACATTGAAGATAAACAGTACTATCCCTTTTTTCTATTTGCAATATTGCTATTTATAGCTATGGTATAGACACCACAATTCCAAAAATCATGTATTTGCAAACACTTCTATGTTTTGAATATATTATCCAGAATGCACTCTACAATTTATGTCTGTATCTTGTGGCATAGTACTTTTGCAATTTATTATCCTTCTTCAGGAAACTTTTTTTTTCTCAAGTCTCTGGGTATGTTGTTAGGCTAAATAAGAAATTTGGGTGAGTGTTTGAGATTTTGAGGCAAATTTGTGGTAAGCTGCTCTGATTTCCTGCATAGTAAACTTTGCAATCTAGGTCTAAGTAGCACACACAATAAAATAATAGAATTTTAGAGTCGAAAAGAACTTCAGCTATTACCTACACAGATGCTATCCACTTCTCCCCCTTACCAATGTTCATATAATTTCTTTATTTAAGAAAAGGCAATATAAATAAACCTTAAAATTTTAGGTGTTTTCCCAGTATTAGCAAAATTAGTCCTAGTCAAACCAGAAAGATTCTGAGAAAAATATTCTTAAAGTTACTTTTCATGCAAGCTTATTTTCTCACAAGATAATATTTCTGTATGAGAGGACACTACTATTTAAAGAATTCTACCATTATCTGAGTCTCCTAAGAAGAATGGGGTTTTTAAGTTCAGGCCTTCAAAATATTTGATTTTTATACAGTACACTTATATGCCTTTTTTTGTTATTAACATTTTAATAAAATCTGTGTTCTATGTTTTTAAAGATGACTTGAGGACTCGGTCAGGCATTTTGCCCTTGCTAAATTTACTTAGGTTGGTTAAAAGTACATAGTGCCAGATTTTATAATCTAAGACATAAGGTTTAGCTTTATCTCAATATTTCACAAATCTATAATTCATTTAAACTCTCAAAAGCATATCCTAAGATAAAATACTTGTTTGAAATTATTATCACAAATTGTGAAGTGATTTTGTATGATTTTATTAAGTTTTAATGTGTTTTGAGTAAAAACATCAATTTGTAAGAGTTAGGGATGTTTATGAGATACTATATGTATTTTACTTTGGGGTGTTGAAATAACAAATTGATAAATAAAACACATGCCTAAAACTACTCCACTTAATATTTCAATATTTTAAAGATTGCTTATACATTTTAGCCTGTTAAAACGGTCTCTCCCAAGTTCCTTTCCCATATTTTTCACAGATGGTACAGAAACTAAAGTTGACATCTCCCACCTCCCCAGACACATTCCTAACTACTACCCAACTTAAAGAGAAAAATAAACTTCAGAAAAACTACTTTCCATTTCTCAAAGGTCACCCATGACCACCCAATTGCCAAATCCAATGGCCTTCTGGTCTTAATTCTACTTGGCTTCCTTAACACTTTTGATTCATTTCTTCTTGAAATTCTTTCTTAACTTCTGCAATACAGACTGTTAAATATTAGGTCCCATGTTTTGACTGTTCAAACTTTGTGCTTTGAATCACCTGATACTGCTGGGCAATTTTGAGGATTTTGTGAACTCCTTTGTCTGATGTCAATGGGCTTCTGAGCTTGTTCCAAAACAGACCGCTGAGGAACACTAAATGAAAAGACAGAAAAGCATATGCCATGTCCTAATATTCATAAAGGGAATATATAGCTCAACATCAATGCCAACAAAAATTTTTAACTATATGAGTATATATCAAACTAAAATAAGTAGAGCTGAAGTAAAATTTTCAAATTTCCATTTTCCCCCAAATGTGCTATTTTATCTAGAACAGAGAAACAATTTCCAAAATACAAATAAAATGTTTCCATATAGTATATGTTTCCTTTACATAACGTATTTAATTTCAAAAAATTCAATAAACTTTCTTTAAGGTAATATATAGATATTATTATATACCTAGTAACACAGTGATAAACATAACTTAATATGTATGCGTTGATTTTAACAAGATAAAAACTTATTGTCATGTCAAATATTCCACTGTGATCATCCTGATTTTAAAAGCTTGATGTTGGGAGAGGGAAGATGGCGGCATAGGAGGACGCTGGGCTCACCTCACGTCCTGCTGATCACTTAGATTCCACCTACACCTGCCTAAATAACCCAGAAAACCGCCAGAGGATTAGCAGAACGGAGTCGCCGGAGCCAGGCTCAGACGAGAGGCCCACGGAAGAGGGTAGGAAGGACAGCGAGGCGGTGCGCGCTCCACGGGCTGGCAGGAGGGAGCTGGGGCGGAGGGGCGGCTCGTGGCCAAGCAGAGCCCCCGAGTCTGGCTTGCAAAAAGCGGAGGGGCCTGACGGACTGTGTTCCGACAGCAAGTGCGACTTAGCGTCTGGGAGGTCATAAGTGAACAGCTCTGCTCAGAAAGCGGGAAGGCTGGAGGACAAAGGGAAGGAGAGCTGCTGAGCCCCCTGACGACAGAGCTCAGTTTGGTGGGGAACAAAGGCGCTCGCCAGCGCCATCTCCCCCGCCCATCCCCCAGCCAAAATCCCAAAGAGAACCGTTCCTGCCAGGGAACTTGCTCGCTCTGCGCAAACACCCAACTCTGCGCTTCTGTGGAGCCAAACCTCTGGCAGCGGATCTGACTCCCTCCTGCTGCCACAGGGCCCCTTCTGAAGTGGATCACCTAAGGAGCAGAGAGCTAAACCTGCCCCTCCTGCCCCTGTGCACCTTGCCTACCCACCCCAGCTAAGACGCCAGATCCCCAGCATCACAAGCCTGGCAGTGTGCAAGTAGCCCAGACAGGCCACCCCACCCCACAGTGAATCCCGCCCCTAGGAGAGGGGAAGAGAAGGCACACACCAGTCTAACTGTGGACACAGCGTTGGGCTGGAGGCAGACATCAGGTCTGACTGCGGCCCCGCCCACCAACTCCAGTTATACACCACAGCACAGGGGAAGTGCCCTGCAGGTCCTCACCACGCCAGGGACTATCCAAAATGACCAAGCGGAAGAATTCCCCTCAGAAGAATCTCCAGGAAATAACAACAGCTAATGAGCTGATCAAAAAGGATTTAAATAATATAACAGAAAGTGAATTTAGAATAATAGTCATAAAATTAATCGCTGGGCTTGAAAACAGTATAGCTGACAGCAGAGAATCTCTTGCTACAGAGATCAAGGGACTAAGGAACAGTCACGAGGAGCTGAAAAACACTTTAAACGAAACACATAACAAAACGGAAACCACCACGGCTCGGATTGAAGAGGCAGAGGAGAGAAGAGGTGAACTAGAAGATAAAGTTATGGAAAAAGAGGAAGCTGAGAAAAAGAGAGATAAAAAAATCCAGGAGTATGAGGGGAAAATTAGAGAACTAAGTGATACACTAAAAAGAAATAATATACGCAT